GGGGGGCCCCCGCCTCGGCGGAAGGGGTGGCGGAGAGCGAAAGCGCGAGTTTCGACACAGAGGTCGACCCCCCCCCTGCACGGCCCCCCTCCGCGCTGGTCGTCAGAAAGGTATCGACATATAGCAAGGGAAACCACAGAAGGGGGAGGCCGTAGCTCTCCGCAACGTGCTTCGCAAGTCGGGATCGGTCGGTTGCAATTAAATAATTCACGATTTCGACCCGCATGAGCAGCTTATCCTGGTAGTGTTTGTAGTACTCGGAAGGGACGACATAGGGGAGGTGGGGCGGGCAAACGTTAGCCAATAGTGAGGGTGAAGAGGAGGAGGACTCTACTACGCGGTTTTCCGCCGGAATATGGGTATGATTAAGCAAACTTCCTGTAGCGGTTGCTGTTGGATTTTTTTTTGTATTTTCCTGAGCCGCACGTAGTTTGTAAATTTTTGAGATATCCTCGTCGAGTTGATTGGGGCAGGTTTTAAACACTGAGAGGACGGGGGTCTGCACGATGAAGTTTGGTAGATCTTCTTCTAGAAGCTGATCGATGCGCCTCATCGCATGTTTGTACTTTTTTTGCACATCACGTACACGGATGGCAATCTTTGTCAAAGAGGCTGCGGCTGCTTGAGGATTTGGCTTATCCTGCTCTCGTTTTTTGAGTGTTCCCAGGGCAGTTTTGACAGGATTGAGTTCCTTGTTAAGCTTTTGCAGCTGACGCATTAGGTCATTTACCTCTTGGGTAATGTTAGACATTGGTTTATGGGTTAATAGTTTCACTGTGTGTTCGTTTGTCTTACAAACCTGACACTTTATGATAAGAGTCCAAGAAAGAAATCGTAACCGAGAAGAAATTAGCGTTCACAACTAAAAAAAAAAAGCATGTTACTTTGTTATTGTTATACAAATGAGGACCAATAAACACTGAAATAAAATATAAAGGTATATTTATTGGCGGGTTTCTCTGTAGATTTATTATATTTCTAACATAACATTATACCCGCTATTTGAATAGTAACCTTTTTCGACACCTTTGTGTCAATCCATGTGTACATTCTTGTTACAAGAGCGAACAGGTTGATTATTATTTTTCAGTTTTAGCTTTCCATTCCAAAGCTATTCTAACAGTAAACTAGTTTACGGCAGAAATATTTAACAAACTCAATACGGATTCTTCAAAGTATATACAAACAAAAAAAATCTATTCTTTTAGGAGTACACAGATGAGTTGAGAGAAAAATGCACATTGACATTACCAAATTTCATTCTTTTTATCAACTCAGATCATATGGTCCCTTTTTCTTCTTAAACCTGTTTAGATGCATCTTCAGAGGTAGGATTATGAACATGCAGGCCCATACATATACTTTCTCACATGAATCCCTTCAAGAGTAACCTTTTAGTATCTTACAGTTTAACATCTACACCTTCATCGTGTATTCTTGAGAAGCTCAGTTGCGTGATTTACCGTACGAAGGGCATTAGCTATTGTTATTTTTATTGCCTGAATGAAGTAATCAATACTTGCATCGCCTTGTGAGATATCACTAGCGATGGATAACGGCCACAACACTCCATTATTATTACTCATCGTGTTTTCATTCTTTGTTGCTCCCGTCCTATTATTATTAAGCGGAACATTTTGAGTGTTATTGGTCAATGACATGGGCGCCTGCAAAAGCTTCTCTTGCGTGGTTTCCCCACCATCCCATTGTAGAGCCGAAGGGTGCGAATCAGACCTCGATTGGACGTTGCCATTAGAAACGGCCGCGGCGTGAATCCCCACGGGGAAAGAATCACCCAACGCGTAAATGGCAGCTTTGCAGCGGCCCAAGACCTCACCCACCGCAACAAGAGGGATGGTGCGGAGGTACTCGACATAGCTCAAGTTCGTTTCGGACGATTCACCAGGTCTGGGGAGAACCAAAAACTGTAAAAGGTAGACCAAGGAATGAATCGCTAAGAGGTAGCTCTCGACATGCGCATGGGAGGGTTGGACAGAGCCGTCCAACCCTCTCCATGATTCGATCGAGGCAGCGACCTGCTGTGTGGCCTGAACGATGCAGTGAATATTGCGCAGATCATCGCGTAATGTGCTGTGCATAGAAATATGTACAAGACTATCCCCAGATTTATTGTCTTCCCTGTTTTGGTGTTTGTCTTCTCCACAGAGGCCGCATTCTAAGGAAAGCAAAAGATTCGAGAGGTTGCGCACGGTGAGAGCGATCATATCCTCTTGCTCTCCTGCCAATTCAGCGTTTACCGTCGCCACGGGGGTGGGGGCGGCATTTGTTAGCAGGGGGAGCGTTTCCACGTCTTGATACCCTCTCAACACGCATGCCTTAAAAAAAGAACTCGAGACAGAAAGTAAGAGATCTGGGAGAGCCATTTCCCGCATCAATGTACGGCATTCTTCAGCTAAGTGGGTTCCTGAAAGCCCACGGAACAAATTTGTGATCTCCACACAAAGCTCTAGGTTTAACACCGTGATAATAGGGCTAGTGTTTTGCAGGCTACCCGCCGCGCGGACGTCGTTCCCGACAATATTTCCACCGCTGTGTTCCCCTGCAAAAGTAAGAAAAGGATGGATGATCATGCTCTTGATGAATTGCCGCTGTATAGAAACGAACTCCTGCACCTCAGCAGCTAGCGGAGAGGCCTTGCCGATGGTCGAAAAAAGCGTATTAAACCATCGCACGGTTCCTAATAACAGCAGCTTGAGCACTCCCAAATCCTGCTCGATTTTTGCATGCCGGATGCCATTGTCATCGCCTACATGGCTAAAAATCACTTGTGAAAGCCGCGTCCAGCTCTCCATCAACAAACAGATCTTGATAAGATGTGCCTGAAAGACCTGAGAGGCATAGGTCAGAGAAATAAAACAAAGATAGTCAAATGTTGTGCGTATTTCCCGCATGATACCGTCTAAATTCCCTCCTTCACTTAAGAATTGTAGAACGTCGGCGTCGACACGCCCGAGAAGAGATTTTGCGCACCTCTGAGGAAGTGTGGCGAGGCCTCCACCCTCAGCTGGAACGCAAAATGCCTCACAAAGCGTTAAAGAGCTTTGCAAAAGCTGCAAAAGCAACGCCAGCGCTAACTGTCGAGCCTCTTCCGAAATAGGTGAGCAGATATCTTGCACAAGAAGCTCAAAAAGCGGAGATTGGCAGCGATATACGGCAACATCATCCACGATAATACCCGGAATGGAAGAAAGAAGGAGCAGCGCCTTGTAAATTTCGCCGCGAACGGCTGGCATGCGGGGGCCCCACTGCACTGCGCAAGGTATCAAAGAGCGTAATAAATGCTGAAAAATGCCTTCTCCCTGAAATGCCTCTCTACTATTGGGAATTAACACCCCATTGGGGGAGGTGGAATCCATCAAAAGTGAGCGCGCTAGGCGGCTGCGCTGGATGGCGCTGTATCGATTGCTTAAGTCCCCTGCTACACTAGCGAAGAGGCTTTTGTAAGCACTATCAAAAGGAGGAACAGAATCGCCTGAACGTGGTCGACGGCGGAGGCTTCGGTTAACGGATGAAATTTGGCGTGGGGTAATTAGAAGCCCGGTGGATGGGCAAGTAGGAGTAATTTTTTCCACCACATTGAACGCGCCAGCCTCCCCTTTCCGGAGGCTTTCGCGCGATGGATGAACGTCGATTACCCCCCCTTTCGCATTGGCAACACCAACTTTCGAAATCAGTGCCATATCATTCACCAGTGTATCCTCAAAATATTCGACGGCTTCTTTCTCATAACGCACCTTCATCTGCAATGTGACGGTCCCGAAACAATTAAATAGAGAATAAAGCATTCTTTCCTGTGCGGCAAGCGTGAGCGTCGTGGTAGAATTAACCCCTTCCAGTAGGCATTTCGAAATCTCCTCCATGCGAGATAGCGAAAGTCCCTTCATCACTGTGCAGGCAACACTTATGAGCTGACATAACCCCTCCAGAAAGCTCACTGCAGAAGCGTGTGCAATGAAGCATGCGTTTGCTTCCACATAAGGCATGAGATCTTCTTTCATAGATAACATATTTCGTTGAGGTAACTTCTGATTGGTATCGTCACGCTGTATTACCTCATAGAGGTATGGAATGTTGTACTGTATGACGTTGTCCACTGCTGGAGAGAGGAAAGGCTCGCTGTTATAAAGTGGGCTCAGGAAGGGAAATACGGGAAGTTGATGCGGAACTTGAATAAGCCAGAGAACAATATCAGTGGAGCCGTTACAAATTACTTCCTCCCTATCACTTCCATCGTGACTTTCTCCTCTCGCTCTAAGACCCTCTGTTGTACTATCTTCTTTTCCATCTTCCTGCGCTTTGAGGGACGTGTTGAACTCGGATCCTTCCGTTGCAAGTTTCGG